TGTGGTTTGGGAGGATCTTGGGGTGGTTTTGGGGATTTCGGGGTCCCACTGTTGATTTTTTGGGGTGTTTTGGGGTCCCTGATTCAGATTTTGAATTCCCTGATGGTTTTTGGGTTTTGGGATTTTTTTGCATTTTGGGGGTCCCTGGGAGGTTTTTGGGGTCCTTGACGTGGTTTTTGTGGTGTTCAGGGTCCTTTGGAGATTTTTGTGGTCCCTAAATCAATTTTTGGGGTGATTTTGGGGTTTTTTGGGGTCCCTAATTCGGTTTTGGGAGGAGTTTTGGTGTGCCAGGGGGGTTTTTGGGGTCCTCGATTCAGATTTTTGAGGTGATTTGGGGTGATTTTGGGGTCCCCGAGTCAGTTTTGGGGTGGTTTTGGGAATCCCTGGGAGGTTTTTGGGGATCCTTGATGTGGATTTTGGGGTGGTTTTGGGGGTTTTTGGGGTCCCTGAGTCGATTTTTGGGGTGCCTGGGGGGTTTTTGGGGTCCCTGAGTCGATTTTTGGGGTGCCTGGGGGGTTTTTGGGGTCCCTGATTCAGATTTTGGGGTGATTTTGGGGTTTTGGGGTCCCACCGTGGCCGTTCTGGTGGCGTCCAGGCACCGGCAGCGCTGCAGTTCCTTGTAGAGCTCCCCCCGGGATTTTGGGGGTTTCTGGGGTGGTTTGGGGGGTTTTTGGGGTCCCTGATTCAGATTTTGGGGTCAATTTGGGGTTTTGGGGTCCCACCGTGGCCGTTCTGGTGGCGTCCAGGCGCCGGCAGCGCTGCAGTTCCTTGTAGAGCTCCCCCCGAGGTGCGAACTCCAGGATGAGGAAAACGCGGCGCCGGTCGTGGAAATAATTGTAGAGTCTGAGAACGTTGGGGTGCCTGGGGGAGGGAACCCCAAAAATTGAGACCCTTCCCAAAATCTGGGACCACTCCCCCAGACCTCAAAATACCCCCAGGGACCCTAAAAATCCCCCCCCAGGAAGCCCAAAAAAAACCCCCAAGGATTCTGGACCCCCCCGCGCCCGGGTTAGCAATGGTACAGTCCGAGTAATTTGGGGTGTCTGGGGAGGGGGGGGGATCCCAAAAATGAGACTTCCCAAAATTTACCCCCCCCAGGGACCCCAAAATCCCCCCTAGGGACCCCAAAACAGCCCAGGGACCCCCAAAATCCCCTCAGGGACCCCCAAAATCCCCCCAGGGACCCCCTCCCCAAAATGGTCCCCCCCTGCCCGGGACAGCAGTGGTACAGTCCAAGTAATTTGGGGTGTCTGGGGGGGGATCCCAAAAATGAGACTTCCCAAAATTTACCCCCCCCAGGGACCCCAAAACACCCCCAGGGACCCCAAAATCCCCTCAGGGACCCCCAAAATCCCCCAGAGACCCCAAAATCCCCCCAGGGATTCCGTCTCAAAATGCCCCCCCCCGCCCGGGTCAGCAATGGTACAGTCCGAGTAATTTGGGGGTGTCTTGGGGAGACCCCAAAAATGAGACTTCCCAAAATTTGGACCCCCCCCAGGGACCCCAAAA